TTGTTTGTATTCGTATATTCCTCCCCCTGCAAGTTTACGCCTTGTGTCCATCACCCGTGTATCATAGTATAATCTGTCCCAAAACCCTATTCAGGGACCTATGTTATCATGAAGTGTAAAAACTTGGGAACTGAGGGTCATAGAGCTCGAAACCCCTATGCATTCTGACTTCCTCCAGGCCCCCGGCGGTGCTCCAGCCGGGGCCCCCTGAACGGTTTAGGGTTTAGGGTTTGGGGTTTGGGGTTTAGGGTTTAGGGTTTAGGGTTTAGGGTTTCGGGTTTAGGGTTCAGGGTTCTTTTGTGCTGTTCTGTCTGAGGGCCTCTTTGGTGAAGGGTTTTGGGGTTTCGGGTGACGGCCACAGGACTGGGGTCAAAAGTACAAGCCAAGGCCATCCTTGACTGGGTATGGATGCACCCAGAGGTGAAGGCTTTTCGGGGTGGACGCCCGGGGGCTGGGGCTGATATCTTAAGGGTTTAGGGTTTAGGGTTTTGGGTTATGTGTCAAGTGATGGGTTACACAGGGTTGCGGCGTCAGCCAGCGAGAGCTCTTATGAACGGGCAGCCCCTAACCAACTCTGGAAGGGTTTCGGAATTGCTTTGGGGAACACGGTGTCGCAGATAGTTGTCAGTGGCGCTATGAGTATCATTATCTTCTTCGGGGCTACAGCATCAGAAACTCGCCGAAAGCCCATGACACCGCCAACACCCTCCGAAGCCCTATGAAATGTCGCAAAGACACTGAGCATGCTGAACAGAAACCAATATATGCCCTGGTGACAGAAAACCGAAAGCCTAAATGCAGCTCAGCCCTGCAAACCGTCACAGGAGATTCGCTGGTAAAGGGGATTGCCCGTGGTCTCGTCACGGCAGGAAGCAACATCGCCCACAACATGTGCCGACACCCAAACACACACACACACACAACACAAAAACCCTGAACCCCTAAATCCAAAAACCAATAACCCCTAAACCCCCAAAACCCAAAAAACCTAAACCCCTACACCCCAAAAACCCTAAGCCCCCCACCACTCCCCCATCCATGGCCTGTGGGCCCAAGCAGAGGTCGAGCAAGGCTCGCAAAGGTCGCCCTGAAATCATGGGACTTTGGGTTTCAGAATTTAGGGCTTAAGGGGTTTAGGGTTTAGGGTTTAAGGGTTTAGAGCTTTGGGCTTCAGAATTTAGGGTTTAAGGCACTTTAGGGTTTAGAGCTTTAGGGTTTGAGAGTTTAGGGTTTAAGGGTTTAAGGGTTTAGAGCTTGAGGGTTTAGGATTTGGGGCTTAAGGGGTTTAGGGTTTAGAGCTTTGGGTTTGAGAGTTTAGGGTTTAAGGGCTCAGGGCCTTTGAGCTTAAGGGTTTAAGGTTTAGGGGCTTGGAGTTTCCGGGTTTAAAGTTCCAGGGCTTTGGGGTCTTCGGGTGTAATGTAGGGGCCTTAATAATTAGAATAGGGTTTTACGCCCATTTATAGTACTCTTATAATAAGGAACCTTCAGGAATTACTTGGGTTTCTATATTACTGCTTCTTTTTGGGCTTCTCAGGCTCCAGGGCATCACCCGAAACCAAAACATGTTCGTGGGCTTGAGTAATTTGTTATGATGCCTTCTTGTAGCCCCCTAGTATACTCATACTATAACAGGCCCAAACGGAGTTCTACTTATTTAGGCGCCTATACAAAGCCCTTATAGTACCCGTACAGTAGAAACCCTAAACCCTAAACACTTAACCCTAAACCGTATAGTACCCTTGTAGAAACGCTAAAGGACCGCTAAACTTCGAAACCCCAAAGCTGAACGCCGGCGACCTCCCCCAAACCAACCCTAAACCCTAAACCCCTAAACTCCTAAACCTCTAAACCTCTAAACGCTAAACCCGAAACCCTAAAACCCTAAACCCGTCTTTCAACGAAGATCTGCGCCGGGGTGCGTGCTGATGGAGATTTGGGGGGGCTTTTGGGATCAGCGTCTCCGGCTTTGCATTCAGGGTTGAGGGCTTATAAGGCTTGTGAGGGCTTGTGGGCTTCGGAGGACTTCCTAAACCCTAAACCCTAAACCTCTAAACCCTAAACCCTACATAACCCCTAAACCCTGAACCCCTAAGCCCCTAAACCTTTTCTTGCAGTGCCAGACCCCGGTCTGATAAACATCGTTCGGTTCGGACTCTGTGTTTAGAGTCCGGTAGCCTTTCCCGAAGGGTCTCTGTACCCCGAAGAGGGTTTCCTTAAGGCTTCATATGGGTGCCATAAGGGCTCTCTAAGTGTACCATGGGGCTTAGGGAAGAGGGCAGGAGGGTTCATGTACCAAACTAGTATAAACTTTGGGCCTTGAAGTATGCTGTATATAGGTACGTTGGGGCCACAGTATGTACCCATTGTTAAGAATTAGAATAAGGATTTGGGGGGCCGTTATACTATAATTATAATGAGGAACTATTTGGGTACATGGACCTTTTTCGGTCTGCGGGTCTTCGGGCAGCCCAGGTTTGGATCGCTCTTGGAGGTTGTGTGAACGTGCATGGTGGGTTAGGGCCGGTTAGGGTTAAGGGTTTAGGGTTGGGGGGGTTAGGGTTACTAGATCAAGGTGGGGGTCAGAGGCTTTGAGTTGAAGGGCTTCCTCTGGATTTGCACAAAACCTGCGCCGGCGGACACGCGCACGCACTTTTTTTGTCTGGACCTGCGGTGCGTCGCCCATTGAGGCAGTTCAAGGGTCCGAGAGGCCAGCGCCCGCCTCGAAATTGCAAGTCCGACGAAATCCAAAAACCCAACCCTAAGCTAGGCCCTAAAGCTTAAATCCGAAATCCTAAAACCAAAACCCCAAAGTGCTTTAATTCTCAATCCACATGACTCTGAGGATCCAAAACTTATGACTTCAGTCCCCCATTAGGCGAGTGCCACAGCAGAGCCCTAAACCCAGGGATGTGCGGAGACATAGTCTAGAGGCATGGGACTTAGATAGGCCTTGCTATTTACAATCCGGTACACCGATACAGAGGGAGAGGGAAGAGTTAGAAAGACAGATAGACAGGTAGGTAGATAGACAGCTAGACGGACTATCGACATACCGACAGACAGAAAGAGCGAACAAACGAGCGATAGCTAAGTATGTAGGTACATAAGTACATATGCACGTGTACATAGATACAGGTACACACACCCCCACACACACACACCCATACCTACGTACCTACATACACATAATGCATGTCCACAAACCCGTGTATAACCACTGCCTCAAACCAACACAAATTACACACAAGAACTATGCAGGAACGGCTCTAAAACTCCACAGCCAGGCTCCGGGGTCTTTACGGTTAGGGTTTGGGTTTAGGGTTGAGGGTTTGGGGCCTGGAGATAGACCCTGAATTTGAGGTGCAGGGTGTCGGGTTTGGGGGTTCACTCCGGGATCTAATCTTTGTGGTGTAGGGTAAGCCCTACCTACCCAAGACCTGCGAGCCGCCCAACCCCTTCCATGCGGTCAGAAGCAGGGTTAATGCCAGCAGGGCGTGGTATCCCAACGATGGTCCATAAGCCTACTTCGAACTCCCCACGACAGTTTCAAGCACCCTACACCCCCACCTAGGTTCGCCAGTAGCTCTTAATAAGGGTAACCTCTTCCTGCTATTTGGCAAAAATATAGGAAACCCAAACGGAAAAAGAGGAAAAGGGTACTACTGGGCAACCCAGCCACTGAAGCCACCGTCAGCTGCGCCCCATGCTCAGCTGTGGCATCGACAGCAGCTGCATCACAGCCTGCCACTGCCCGGCATTCCTGGCTCAGACCCTGGCCGGCTCTGGCTTGGGGTCAAAACGTGCAGGGTTTAGAGTTTAGGGCTCACAGGGATTACGGTTTAGGCGAGTGTGGTGCTACCCTACACTCTAACCTAAGGCCGTAACCGCCAAACCCTGAATCCGAACCCTGCCCACCCTTCTAAAACAAGGTCACGTGCTGATAAAAACCCTGGTGTTTTGAGGCTTCCATGCAGGCTTGTAGAGGCCGAATGTACTGTAAATTACGGTAGGTTTGATCTTCTGTTGTATTGTCTGTCT